ACCGATGTTATACGAACGGTTCTCCTACATAAACAGATGTTCTACTAACAGTTCTCCTACATTAACTGATGTTCTACTAACGGTTCTCCTACATTAACCGATGTTATACTAACGGTTCTCCTACATTAACCGATGTTATACTAACGGTTCTCCTACATAAACTGATGTTCTACTAACAGTTCTCCTACAGTAACTGATGTTCTACTAACAGTTCTCTTACATTAACTGATGTTCTACTAACAGTTCTCCTACAGTAACTGATGTTCTACTAACAGTTATCCTACATTAACCGATGTTATACTAACAGTTCTCCTACAGTAACTGATGTTCTACTAACAGTTCTCCTACATTAACCGATGTTATACTAACGGTTCTCCTACATAAACTGATGTTCTACTAACAGTTCTCCTACAGTAACTGATTTTCTACTAACAGTTCTCCTACATTAACTGATGTTATACTAACGGTTCTCCTACATAAACTGATGTTCTACTAACGGTTCTCCTACAGTAACTGATGTTCTACTAAAAGTTCTCCTACATTAACCGATGTTATACTAACAGTTCTCCTACAGTAACTGATGTTCTACTAACAGTTCTCCTACATTAACCGATGTTCTACTAACAGTTCTCCTACAGTAACTGATGTTCTACTAACAGTTCTCCTACATTAACCGATGTCATACTAACAGTTCTCCTACAGTAACTGATGTTCTACTAACAGTTCTCCTGCATCAACTGATGTTCTACTAACAGTTCTCATCCTTTAAGTCAAGAATGTATACATTCTATCTTGTCCAATGAACCAATCAAAGTTATAAGATCTTTTGTAGTATACACTAATACATTTTATTAAAACACAACTTGCTGTTTTTTATTTCTCTACTCAATTTAACAATGGTTATATGTAGTAAATATTACACAGTGATCCTAAAATAATTAAATATCTATACTTTATATCCCTTTAAAAAAAGGACAGTTATTTTTCACAGGACTTTACAATACGTATTTTCTTACATTGTATTATAACACATACAATTCTCGTATACTTTGTTAAACACATCATAAAAGAAATAGCAATCCGAAAGAACCATCGTCTCCAAAATGAAAACAAACAAACTTGTCATTCCTACAGGATTGCTATTAGAAAGAGCTTTTAAGCACATACTGAAAGTAAATAGATTCTGTAACATTAGCATGACGAAAAGTGTCTTTAACTCGGAACTTCTCAAACTTTCCAACTACATATATCATTAAAGATGTACGTACAGACTTTCCCTGTACATCACCTTTAGATCATCCCATCTATCCCTAACTTAAATTGAAAATTCCAAAGAAAGGTTAAAACAATAAAATGTAAACCACATACTGGTTATGAAAGTGTAAGTGGCTTTATTTTGTTTTCAAAATAATAATGCATTAAACCCTTTTACAAATATTACACATTGAAAACACCTTTATCAAAGATACATTATCAAAACTGAAACCACTTTCAGTTAGTGTCACACAATAATAAACTGAAAACCCTTTAAATGTATACATTCAATACCAAACACTAAATGCTATACTCTATCCCTAAAACAAATTCAAGATAAGTTAGTTGTATATACATTTTCTATATATTATTTTGTTTTTGACACATGTTTTTGATCCCGTGTTTAAAAATTTTGTATTTGTACCATTTACATTTTAAATGAGTAATTCTTTCGTGTTTTTGTACACCTTTTAATCTCATAAGTATATATATATATATATTTATATATTCTGCGCTCCAAAATTTCACTTATAGCCTTTCAGTGTTTCGACTTCAGACTTTTACACTTTAGGTGCGTTTATACATTATAGATTTTGTACAACACTTACCTTGTAATGCTTCACACTTTTACGTTACCAATGTTACATTGCAGATGAAAATCTATATAATTTTATACTCTAATCAGATGGTATTTCAATCGCAATCTTAAGAACTATTCCATTTATCCTTTGAAGTGAAAGGTAACGTGTTATATGAACACATACAGAATCAGTGTAAAATGAAGGGTAATGTCATATATAAACATATACAGAATCAGCATAAAATGAAGGGTAATGTCATATATAAACATATACAGAATCAGTGTAAAATAAAGGGTAAGGTCTTATATAAACACATACAGAATCAGTGTAAAATAAAGGGTAAGGTCTTATATAAACACATACAGAATCAGTGTAAAATAAAGGGTAAGGTCTTATATAAACACATACAGAATCAGTATAAAATGAAGGGTAACTTCTTATATGAACACATACAGAATCAGTGTAAAATAAAGGGTAAGGTCTTATATAAACACATACAGAATCAGCATAAAATGAAGGGTAACTTCTTATATGAACACATACAGAACACATACATTTTC